AAGGTGAGAAGAAGGGAGGAAGATTATGAGGAGAAATTAGGAGGAGAGAGAGAAGGGGGGAAACGCATTAGCGCAATTATGTTTAAGGGAGATGAAGAAAAGAATAGAAAAGGAAAAAAGCTATCGAAATGAAAAAGAGAAAGGAGTCAGTTCTTCAGGAATAGAGGGATAGAGGTGGAAGATTGGGAGAGGCAAAAGAGGAAGAAGAGGGTAAGGTTTGAGAAATTGGAAGGTAAGAAAAAAGAAAGACAGAAACCCACATAAAATAAGAAGTCATATAAAAATCAAGATGACGTCAAAATGACAAAAACTCATTTTTCGATCATGAAGAATTGATGAAATTATGATTGTGAAACTTAACATATTATTTTAAATATCTATATATTTTAAATATATTATTTTAAATATATTCTATATATTTAAATACCTATATATATTTTATATATTGTATGTGTATGTACATAATAATGTTTTATGTATACACTACGAGTATAGCTTACAATTGTTCAATTATATCTCTATCATAATTATACTATAAATATATTATTAATTATTGATATTATAAATTTTTCAGTTAATCAAAACCTCACTTAAATATAGGAGGGTAGTTAAAAGTTTTGAGCCTTAACATGAAGATGAACGTTATTCGTCAAAAAATTTTAATATTACAATAATATATGTTTTAAAAGACTTTTGTAAAAATTTCCAGCCATTTTGGACGCTCAGTTGTTATTTGACAGTCGTTTGTGTCAGTCAATATCAGTGTTTTTATAAAAATGGAAAAAATTGAATATCGTGCCGTGATTAAATTCTTACATTTGAAAGGCAATACGCCTGCGCAAATTAAAATCGAATTGGACGGGGATTCTGCCCCATCATTTGCCACCATAAAAAGATAGGCAACTAAATTTAAACGTGGTCGTATCAGCTTGGCTGATGATGAGCGTTCGGGAAAAACTGTGACCACCGCTGATAATATCGAAAATGTTCACCAAATGGATGACCAAATCAAGGTCAAATCAAGGTTAGAGAGATAACAGAGACTATGGGCATATCGAAAGAACGCATTTGTCATATATTGACTGAAGAATTGGATATGGAATTGTGCAAGCTATTCGCGCGTTGGGTGCCGCGCTTGCTCACTTTGATCAAAAACGAATTCAAATGAACATTTCCAAGGCCCCCTTGTTAGAGCGAAACGAGTCAGATTTTTTGCGTCGATTCATAACTGTAGATGAAACTTCCATCACTCCAGAAACAAAAGAACAGTCAAAACAGTGGACTGCAAAGGGTGAACCTGCTCCGAAAAAGATGAAGACGGTTCCATCAACTGGGAAGGTAATGGCAATTGTTTTTTGGGATAGTCACGGAATTGTGTGTATCGACTATCTTGAAAAAGGTACAAAAACGGGAGCGTATTACTTGATAAGTTGAAGGCAGAAATTGACAAAAAAACTGCCGCATTTGAAGAAGAAGAAAGTTCCCTCAAGACAATGCATCTGTACACTTCGGTGGTCGCCATGGCCAAAATTCATGAACTGCACTTCGAATTGGTTGATCACCCACCGTATTCATCAGATCTGGCCCCCCAGCGACTTTTTTCTGTTTTCTAAGCTTAAATTCG